TTGTTGTCACGTTGTGAGTGTCTTATATATATATACCAGACAAACATATATCTAGTAAATGCTAGGGCATTCACGAAGGAACAAGATAGTTCTAGAAACGTGGTGTGACACTAGTCACGTGACCTCGCTCACGCAACAATAGGAAGAAAACCTCCTTAATCTTCAGTGTAACACCTGTGTCTAAATCTCTGACTTCAACTATATTTCACTTTCCACCATGCATATCTTGTCTGCTTTATCTGCAATTTCAATTATTATTTTTATCATTTTACTTGTTGCACAGTGTGCTTCCCTACATATATATGTGGCTGAATATATCATGATTTTCTATAAACCAATTATCCCCCATTATTCATTGACAAAAAGGCTGCAGACTGACAGACAAGCATAATGTTAACAAACTTATTTGATGAACATATTCTGATCAACTGTCTGCATTGCATATTCTTCATGATCTTATCTGCTTGGATGTTGTTTCATTTTTGTTTATGGGACAAAATACATAATTTCTTCTTGATGTGCTTTTGGCTTACCAGGTGCCAATATTACTGATAGGTAGATGTGTGGTATATTTAGGTAAATCTGAATTAATTTTAGACAAATGAGATAGATCAGCTTAACAACATGATATTTGGTTAAGATACTGATTATGAGGTAATGCTAAATCTCTAAATAACTGATTCATGATGTTAAATGGATTAATTAGAATGAATAAAAAATTAAATACACAGTGTGTCTGTACTTGCTTTATTGAATGATAGACTGCCCCTTTTATTGGATTCCCTTTAAGCTGCTTTTCCTGTTCCAGACTATCTAAATCCAATGTTCCATAGTTGAAGAAATGCCACCTAGAGTTATTAGTACTACCTATGTGACAGGTCATTCTCATTCCAACGTAGGTAAAGTTGTAACCTCTAGATACCACCTGAATTACTATTGAAGAACACTGTTGTCGGTCGACGTCCTTTCACAACGTGCGGTGTTGCAGCAGTACTTCACTGGGCAGAACAGATATTATATATTTGAGAATAACAAAGAAACAAAAGCAACTAGTATAAAATAATCTTAACGGCTTTCTCGATCATGTATTACATGAAACCTAAATATATACAAAATAAATGCTTTAATATTACAAAAAGATAGAAATGCATGATATATTCAAACACCAAAGATGTCTCACAGCATACTTTGCTGGAGAGACCAATCAACAAGCTTTTATCTTGGCTCTTGGCTATTCCATGGAACATTGAATATTTTAGGTTATTCTTTACTCGCATGAGTGTTGACATCAACTGGGCATCTGCTCACGTGTTTGGAATCAGGCCTAACTATAATGTTCTCCCCTACTGCTGCTATAACAATGGGTAATTTACATGGTCAGTTTGTAGTTAAAATGCTGACCAGCATGTATGTACAGATCATAGCTATCCTCATTCTTGCCACCAATCTTGAGATTTAGCAATGTTACAAGACACAGCTCATTTAATTGCATGGTGTCCATAACTAATAACAGTAGTTTTGCTTCTATACTGATCATATTAATATAATACTTACTCAGTCAAGAACAGCACAGATTGCTAGTTACTACTAATCCCCTTCTGTTTTTTAATAACATTGCTGCCTTACATTCATTAACCAGTTTTCTAAGTCAAAACGTTTCTTTATTTTAGTGAAATACTGAATTTTGTTACTGAGAGGACCAGGTTGCTTCAAAACCAGCTACAGACCAGTCTAATATAAACCAAATATTTGTTCAGCAGTACCATAACTGTGCTCATTCTAAGTGCACAAATTGTTTTTCTTTGCTGTATTTGATATAATGTTTTCTTCCAAACAGTTTTTCTTTTTTCCAAACTGCCAGTAGAGTAAGAGGATATACAAGTCAGTTTGAATGGTACTACATGAGTTGTCCCCTCGGTCAATCCTTATAGTATGGAGTTTCCCTCATATTTATTATCCAAAAAAGCACTAGACCAACACTTTGGTTTCTGATATACTCCCCTCTCAATTGCCAAGCATTGAAATTCTTAGTTAGTATAGGTACTGATATAAAGTATTACATAAACCTCAGTTCACTTATTAAAAGAATGATTTATGACCAGCAGTAAATATCAATTACCTCAAATGGTAACAGCAAAAGAACTGTTAAGATCTAATACGTTGCACTGTTGGAGTGAGCAGTTTGTTTTCATCTTAGTTTTCTATACCACAGATACTACAGTAGCTATCAAGGTATGTTTGAGCTTGCTGAATTTACACTACTCTCATGACCAGGTTAAAGAGCTAACAAATAGTTAGTCTATAGTGGTGCTGGTAATATTGTTCAGATAAGTTGGCTTGTGACCTTTGGTATCTTCTTTTTGTCCCAGATGTGATTGCTCCATTTGTCCTCCCCCTCTTTCTAGTCCGTTTACCTTCACAGCATTCTACCAGCAGTTACAGAAGTTTTACTGGTTGTTGTACTTTTTTTTGTTCTACCTTAGGGACTGTAGCTATATTTTAAATAATTTATAATTTTTACTGTATGTATTCATTATTATTATTATAAAATTATTCAGTTTGTGTAACTTTAATTTGAAAGACTTATTAATGAACTAAAAAGTACACTTTGTATCACTGATTTAAGCTCAGAATTCTTACGACAGTGTTTTCCTCTACATTTCAATGTAGGTTCAACCTCTCCTAGATTCCCTACTTGGTAAGTATCTGGCTTAAACACATTTTAAGAAACTGTTTGATATTCTGTTTAAGAAGTATTAAGTATTTTTTTTTTGCAATTACTCTAAACAAACATAGAAACAAAAAGTTGCAGGCTTCAAAAAATCTGTCATTATTTAGGAAAATGAAAAACTAAAAGTGATACACATTACTTTGTTTTTTTGCTTTTTCATTGGAAAACTGCTTATGCAAAATGAATGAGATACTTTTGAATATAAGCAGTTTCTAACTAAAATAATTATTCTATGTAGTGTCAAAATACAAAATATTCAACTCATGTAGAATCTAAAGAAGATAAAGAAAAGCATAATAAATTTAAGAAATATAAATTGACCGGTATGACAGGAGACTTAGAAGATTATAGAAGATCATGAAAGTTGGTTAAACAGGAAATTAGGACATCAAAAAGGATGTATGAGAAAAAGTTGGCTGAAAAAGTAAAAATTAACAATAAGGATTTCTTTAAATACATTAATGGGAAACAACATATTAGGATAGGGATAGGACCCTTGAGGGATGAT